GTGACGACAAAGTTGGTCATTGCCTACACGGGTGGAAGGAGTTTCTTTATCGGAAAGTTGGAATAAATTTTATCGGCTAGTTCAACGATAACCTGTTTAATAAGCTCTTCATAAGCCGGTTTAATTTCTTTGAAGATTATTTTGGCGTTTTCGTTTAATAATCTGTTCATCTCTTCACCTGCAATCAATGAAGTGAAGAAACAATTAATAGATAAATAGTACGGAGCAGATTCTATTTTCTATTCTATTTTTGATTAATAATTCGTATCATTGCCGTTTCTTTGAATAATATGCAACAGTGCGCACAAATATGTCAACATGATGCGAGAAATTAAGATATTCTAATAGCTTTCCTATTGTGTTACTAGAGATATTACGCTTATTATGCCGGTCTGTGAATACACTGGGTCATATACATTTAATTTCCAAACGGTCTGAACACATTTTTTCGATGTAGCTCGATACAAAGTCAATGGTCTAATAGAAAAACTTATTTTTCTTTAATTCCTAGAAGTAAAATTCTTCCATTGGACAATTAGCTGTGTTCCGAAAAAAATGTTAGTACTGTGTTGACACCAGATGTATACTTTTTACCATTATCTATACTAAAAGCAAAATTTATTTATACAACTTTCAATCTTCACATTTACGCATAAAGGTGAATATCGTACAAATAACTTTAGTTATGTAGGCCAGGCATACTTTATGCTGTATGTACAGGAATAATATAGATCGCTGCATAACGTACCTAAATTTGAATCCTTGCCAAAGAGATTTTCGAAATATACTTTTATATCTGTGTCTTTGATGTAAAAATTAAGTTTCTTGAGCTTTAGATAACTTTCTCCATGTCTCTCATACCTTTCGTATTCTACATCAATTGTCATCGTTGTGTTATCTGTAAAATAATATATGGGATCGATGATTGTCGACATTGCATTGAGTGTTTGTCGCTAGGTAAGTGAAGAAAAAGCAGCCGCGCTATATTTGGATATATGAAAATATATATAAAATGAAAATATGATATGATAATTACAAAGCGTCATTTTGCCTTTGCCCTTTCCTTGAAGTGGCAACAGTAAAATTCTTCCATTAAATTCGTAGTCACAAGTTATGTTCAATTGAGGGTTAAAGGCTTCCAAAAAGAGTGCGAATGTATTTACGTCGAAACTGTGGAAAAAAATATCGATTTCGGTTGCATATATACATACATATATAAGAAAAGATCCACCGAAATAATTCGAATCGAGTTAAACGAAATAAATTTTAGGTTTGTTTGTAACTAATCAACTAATCTAATTTTTTCAGTAAAATTTTAGGGTTCTTTTATTCTCTTATTCATAGTAGAGTACGTAGTTCATAGTAGAACAAGTAGAATAAATTCAAAATGAAGCGATGATTATGTTCAACACATTACCGGCCGTATTTATCGTCTGATTTACTGGAGTTTTCAACAAAGGTTGAATTACTTGTATTATGCAATTGGATCAATTTTTTGGTAATGGAAAGGATATTTGTATCATACATACGGCTGAGTTTCAGTTTCTTTACTGTTGATATAAATTTTGTAGTTCAAATCCGTAAATCAGATCGTTGGTCTGGCTCGATTTTTACACAACTTCTACGACGAAATTCATATAACCCATCACAGTTATATAGCTTTCAGATTTTACCAAATTTTTTCAACTTATGATTTATTGAATTACATCTACATACCTACAGTATGCACATGACATACATGCACGCACATACAACCAATATGACATTTTATCTATATATTATATAAAATGTCTTGCGTAAGGTCATAATATTTCCTTGAAATTGAAGGTGAAGTTTGACGTTGCGGGAAAGGTAAGTGAGAATTACGTACTTCTTTGCGAAGACTTGCACATTTTTCGCCATTCCGTGAATCTTCATATTCCGATATTCTTGTATTAACGATACCGGACCGGAACTATTGATACGCATGTAATCGATTGTCAGCGGTTCGATAGGTAAAATTTTCAATGCACTGTCACCTACATGAGATCAGAAGCAGAATGCCATCAATTGTTTGCAACTGGAAATCTTGTGACAGCGTTAGAAAATAAATTACATTTCTCAGTATAATTTGAGATTAATTATTTTAAAAGACACATAACAGTCCATTTCTATTTGCTGCTTCCAATACTCTATTACTACTATTATAAATATCTAGTTAAATAATATAAGACCGAAACAGCTCATGATTAATTTCAATGATATTATTTGAATATTTTCCTACATTGAATATTGAAAGAAATCAATGGATTATACTAATTTTTACATACAATTTAGTATTAGTGCATCAGTAAAATGAAATGGAATCGGCTTATGGTTTTTTCTTGCATCAATCTATTTCTCTCACTAAATCTCTTTTCATGAATAGTATCGTACCGCGCGATAAAAAGTAACATAAATGTACTTGCCGTTAATTAAAACACTCAATGCTATTGTAATAGCCTCGGACAAACATTTGATGATATCCGGATCCGATAGCTTACAAATTTTGAAACCATTAGCTGCAAATAGGAAGATGACTTATTTTATATAATTTGTAACATAATTAATAACGTACACTTTTGCTGCGTTAATATGTTGAAATATAAACCAAAGTAGAGGAAATATATTTTTTATATTTGCTTGGACGCACTTTTAGGGAATAAAACGTTATTAAAAAAAAATCGATTTTTTGCTTTGATAAAAGTATTAAAATGGAATTTTGTTTTCAATAAAAATCGATAGTCACGAAAAGTATTTTACAGTAAATTTTCCAGATTTTTCGGAAATGTAATAAATCTTAACATATTCTCACTCTTCATTTCTTTCATAAACTATATAATTTTTTTCTATCAAATAAAGGGACATTTTATGTCGAATCTAATCATATAGTTATTCTCTATTGTAAAAGGATTTATCAAAACTTGAAAATTGGTACAGAAGAAATTGCCTTCATTTAAATATTGCTTGTCAATAACTTCTGATATTCTATTTAACGTTCTATTAACGTGCAATAAAATAGTTGTGTCTGTTTCTCATCATATATTATTCACGTATCCATCTGTTCTAATTTACGTATCTGTCTCTCAGCGACAGTATAATAAAATTGTTTCAAAATATCAGAGGTTGTGTCCTTTTGGTGGCTATCACAAATATACTAATTGCCATATCTGTCTGCCACTATGTAGTAAGAGGTTTGAAAGTTGGCACCACATAAAATTCATGGCGCATTGGAGGCAACACCACTAATCTGTCATTCTAAAGACTTATCAATTAACCTGGTAAACAAAAGCAACAATAATACTATAATAATAATTATTTTATGTACAATATTAATTATATGCTTCCCAACTTTTTTGTTATAAAGGAATATATGTACACTCTTGGAAAGTAGAGAAAGGAATACTTTATGTATGAATTAATATGCACGTGTAACGCGACGCACGAACGGCAAGATAGAGTTATAAAAAAATATATTACCAATGCCTTAAGAATTTTGCGTTTTATTATGACCGACAAGCTGGTTTTTCCTGTTGTCTGCGAACTGTCTACGGTATCATATATTACGTTGTTATGTAACAAAAGCAATCTCAGTTAGCTGCTCATTTTTTTCCAAAGTTCACTATCACGTTAAGATCACTATCACGTACAATATTAAAGTTACGCACTTATATTTTAATTACGTTTGTCAGTTTCTTCGAGTGATTCCCGATAACTTTAGAAATAATTTACTTTCTCGTTATTATAAGTTTCTTCGAGTGATTCCCGATAACTTTAGAAATAATTTACTTTCTCGTTATTATAAGGTTTTCGCTAGCTTTCAGCAAACGTAACTCTAAGTGGATTAAGGTAGAAATATTTAACCTTTGAGTAGTCTAAAAAAATATAAATCCTTCTTTCTACTCCAGATTTCAACATATTACAAGTGCGTCAGAATGAAAAAGAGACATTCCCGTGCGTTTCCTTATAAGTGTATAATTTCGAATCACAAAACAAAACCATGCATCGACTGGAATAGACGGTTGTTCAAATATCGTAATACCATCTTCTCAAGCCTGCATATCAATATTTTCAAATTAAAAACTATTTGTTTATATCGCAAAGTTGTTTATATCGCATATATTTAAACTTTTTCGTCCATTCGTGGAAAGTCTAAAATTTATTAGAACGTTAACTCGGCACTTCTCTTCAAATATTCCGTTGCAATAGCGATGCAAGATACTTTACTGTCGATGTGATGTGAAAAGTTATCTTTGCGATTACTCACGTAAATCTACGGCCATGATTGCAACCATCATGGACAAGAAGACAATTGTCGTCTTCATTGTCGCTGAATTTTTTCCTTCACGTTGATACATTGATACGTTGATAAGATTGAAAGTCAAACAATTTTCGCGGATGACAACTGTCAGTGAACGTTGAAAGAGTACTGTTAGACATGACATTCTTGCGATCTATTTAAAGCTTCTACTTCCTTCTCTGCAATTGTCCTTGTGTGCCGAAGGTAAAAGCAAAAAACCTGATACGTCACCGGGTCAGTATCGGTTGGCCTTTCTTCATTACTGCTCTGGTATCCTTCTTGTCCGGCTAAGCGGCAAGAGGAGGTGCGGTCGCGAACCTCCGAGTTGCAATATAGCCGGTGGTCCCATGATCGTTCACCGGATTGCCAGGTGGTCGTTATTTGAGAGAACGAGTGACTGAGTAAACGAATTGTACTCGAATTCGTTTTATTCGTGAGCGTGAGCGTGGTGTTGCAGACATCGCACTGGTCTATTATACTAGAGATATTCCGATTTCGCCTCTCGGTAGAACCACAAATATTTTTATACGCCCGTCTCCCCTCCGATGGACCGGTAAATGCATCGAGAGAGTATCTTTGCCAAAAATCTCATGCTAATTTTCGTTCAGAATCGACGATGAAACTGTAGTTCTCATATAGTTGTGTATAATCTGCGTACGCACAACAATATATGCGTGTGAGGATCGGAAAACGTCGAAAGACGTTACAAAACCGATATACAATACGATTATGAAACGTTACATACATTTGAAGAACGTATATAAAATAAACATGTGCTATCTGGATTGTTATTAAATCGGACTAACGTTACCGCATAAATGCAGACAATATAAAAAATTTAAGTAATAATGTTAGAAATAATATAAGTATATTACATAGTGTGTAATGAAAATAATATAATCATAAGAATATAATCATAAGAATATAATCTATAATCATAATCATAGTTGTTGCACTCCGTGCCTGATATCCAATTATCAATGTTAAGCGACGTCGACCATGTATTGGGGTGAATGGGTGAATGGAGGTGACCATAAGGACACAAAATTTAATGTTGAATCCACGCAGAGATACAAAAAAAAACATTCAAAATGTTGAAACAGCTTTTGCGGTTACCGACAAGCAAGGAATCAGGTTGCTTCTCTTTTACTGACAATGTTTCTTGAATGTTGCAATGCAACATTTCTATGATAATTTTTTGCAATGTTTCTAAGATTTTAACATTGTTACAACGTTGCGGCAACGCTGTAGTAACGGAATATGTTTACGTTTTATAACGTTTTATAAATGAAATATTACAATGTTTCTATGTAATGTCTTTGCAATGTTCTTGAAATTTTTTGTACTGTTTATTGAGTTACTACCATATTAAGAGAATTATATAGTTTATTCTGCTTATACAGAAAAGTTGCAGGCACGTTATAATCCAACAATTTTACAAGCATGCTGAATCGATCACAAATTTCATATTTGGAATATCTTTTTATTTGAACGTGTAATGCAAGAAATTTTTACATATGTTTCCTCGTTTCTGACGTTAAACAAGGACAGTCACAATGAGTAGTCAGGAGCCTTGCGTAACCGAACGTGCGTAACGATCTCTTTAAAATATGCAAACTACAACATGAGGAAAAACAATATTATTGCAACTGTTTTATATTGGGAATGATTGACATCATTCCCAATATAGACTTTTGCCGTTAGTTAATGGCATAGATTGCATACGAATACGCGAACTGGTTATTAATGTAATAATTATGAAAGCAGCGCGGCACAACTTCTTGCCGATATGAAGTACAATTTTAACAATCTCAAAGGATTAGACGTAAAAGCATGAGTTCGATTAATTTGATACTAAACGCGACAGTACGGGCTAACATTTAGATCACATTTACTAGGGCGGGAATATTTCGTCGCTGTGAATAAGAGTGAATTTATTTTTACACAAATTATTATTTACAAAAGTTTATAAGCATATAAAAATTACCTTACGAGTGTTAGAATTTAGTTATTGCAAGTCTCGAGATATAAAAATATCTCCGTATCAAAACAAGTCTATCATACGAAAAGGCAGGGGAGATCAGGATTCCCACGGATCTGCCTTCGTCTCATCAAAGAACTCTCTTCGATATTTGAACGCTAAGCTGTTCAGCGGTGGTCTGGTTTTCAGGATCCCGAGATCGATGGCAGGGCCGGCCAGAGTACAGCTGTGGTGCCGTCTCTGCCTCTAATGCGTACAGTACACACTATTCTTTTGACGCACCAAGTGAATGAGGGAGTAATGGATGCGCTTCCTCTCCGTCGACGCGTGCGGCGGCATCGTCATCAGCAGGTCCTGCCTGTGGATTTTGCCTGGTTGGCAAATTTTAGGTAATGCTAATGGTGCTAAAGCTAATACATACAAACACATATGCGCGCACACATTGTTACGTCCTGGGTACCTCGGGAAGTACGAATTCCTTTTTTTTTATATGATTGGGAAGCAGACGGACTTCGGGCAAGTGCTATTGTAAAAAGGATAACATTACGATGACTCGCCGTTAAACGTGCCATGTGTTTCTCAACGCGTCTTTCACTTTTTCCGCCTTTACGTAAGACTTCGTTTCTCTCCAGCGGCGGTTCGCGAAAATAACGCTATGTGAAAAATAATAAATTATAACAGTTATTCTTTTATAACATTTTTGTATTGCCCTCTGGACTCTACATTACATTATCCTCCTTACTCTCGAGTGGATGACACTCGTCTCCCGCATGACGGTGCACAAAGATCGCAGCAAGAACGATTATTGTAAAAGAATAAAAATTATAAAAATTATATTTTTAAACTTATAATTTTTTTCTTTCGTTTTACATCCTCCCCTGCATTAATTATAATTCGTCGCGCGTTAGGAAAATATTGTGGCGAGGAAATGTGTAAATTATTTCTTTCTCGCGCTATAATGTCTACAATATTACCATATTTTCATCGGTTCGAACATTTTTGCGATGATTTCGCAAGGCAGGAAAGATTAAATGTATATATCCGCTGACTGTATATAGATCCGCAATTATGGCATGCGCTCTCAAAGTGCTTGTAATTTTAATACGAAGAGAAATCCATCGTGCGTGTCGGTTTTGCATCGATCGAATATTCTTGCGTAAAAATGACTATTCATTTTGCGCTAATATGACATTTCTTTTTCGATTTCTCGTACGATAGCCGAATCTTAACTACTCAAATGAAGGTGTAGAATCTGAAAAAGTCCGTTAGGTCGCATCATGCTGAACGGTTGAAGAGCTTTCATCCAATTTGTATTCTTGACATCATTGGAATATTCGTGACGTAAATCGTAAAAATGTTCCAATTCGTGTAATAGTAAGTGTTCGAGAAAATTCTTGCTAGAATGTCTGGTTTTTCCTACCGGCAGAAATGTTTGTAGACGTTGTCGCGACTTCAACATATTTATCAAACGATGACGCGACAATTTCAAGAGATGCAAATAAGCTACAGCCCAGGTGTATCTATCGTGTAAAAGTACGAAATTGAAGGACGCGTTAGCAAGAACGCCTTCGTGGAATAACGTGTCGCAAATCCGTCTGTGATTCGAATGTTCGAAACTGATTATCAGAACAATTTTGCCCGGCAAGGAGAACCGTTTGTCTACTTCGCGGATTATGCGACTTATATTGATATTGCCACCTTCAACTTCCCGTATCGATATGCGGGGAAACCATTTTCACAATTGTTTTGTTACCATATCCGTCACGATGTTACGTTTTAATTCGTAAGCTTCTCGTTGCAACGATAACCTCTGTTGTCGAGGTAATCCCGCATGGGCTGCAATTATTATCATACCATTAAAAAAATTTTTTTTTTTCTTTTCGCTAGCGTTCACCACTCTAGCGAGCACGCGGAGTAGCGACACTAACTATTCGCGTTCGAGAAGCCTCGTGTAGATACGATTCTCACATACCGTTATCACCCACTTCGATTCCAGACAAATCGAGCATAAATCCATTGAGGGTATGTGGGTTGAATTTATCCTTCGCTATTTCTTCCTCATTTGCAACGAAGCCTTCTATGTTTTCATTTTGTCCGTACACCGAATGGAGGACGTTGCGCAGTTGACGAGCTTCTCGAACGTCATATCGTCCGTCTCGATAAAGATCGGTGTCGTAATACGAGGTCTGGCTATTAAATAACGAGACTGCGCGCGCAGAAGTCGTCCTANGGGGGGGGGGGGGGGGACGAATGCAGCGTTCGATAGGGGGAAATGTCTACTATTCCAGTACGAAAACTCGTGTTTGTCGCTGTAGTAGTATTTTTTTCTATAGAGGTTAGAAACGAACGTGTTTTTTTCTCGTGCCGATAACAATGTGTGACGAAAAACACGAGCAACGGATCAATGTGAAATTTCTCGTTAAATTAAAAAAACTCCGACTGAGTGCTATAACTTGTTAAAGAGGCCTATGGTGAGAATTCTCTATCTCGTGTGAGTGTTTTCGAATGGTATAAACGGTTTTCTGGAGGCTGAGAGAGCACTGAAGACGACTAACGTCTAGGTCGACCTGTCTCTGTTTCAACTCCGCAAACAGTGACCAAAATCAATGAAATTGTGCGCGGAGATCGTCGTATGAGCATTAAGATGATTACTGAGACTGTAAACGCCGATAAAGAAACTGTTGTGGAAAAACAAGTCGTGGATCTTGCACCAGGACAATGCACCTGCCCATAACGCGCTGTCTGTGAAGTGTTATTTAGCCGCTAGAGGCACTCCAGTGCTCGAACACGCGCCGTACTCGCCTGATTTAGCACCCTGTGACATTTTCCTATTTCCAAAGATCAAGTCTGTCTTAATAGGAACCCGGTTCGAGTCGATGGAAGAGGTGAAGAGAAAATCGGCGGAGCTCCTAAATACATTTACAAAAGAAGACTTCCAGCATTGCTTTGACCAATAGAAAAAACAAATGGAACGATTTGTGAACGATGAGGGGAGGGGAGTACATTGAAGGGGAGCATTCGATTGTAAGATAATTTTTAAAATAAAACTCTTTTTCATAAGCAGTCTCGTTATTTAATAGCCAGACTTCGTATCCCCATTGGTCGATATCTCGCTCTCGTGCGTCTTCGA